CATTTTGTCTACACTGTTTGGGGGGATTCTATATTGGTGCTCGCATATTCCTAGTTTTATGAAAGCAACTACTCCGTGCCCTATCTATTGCAGATATCACCCAAACTACCCTTGCTTCCGGCCAACTGCGTTATTTTTCATTATGCATAAAGTATTCTCAAGAGTTGTTTATGCTGTGGCTCGTGTGAACAGAAGCTATCAAGGTTCCGGTATGTTTTACTGAATGTTTCTGATGTACTAAATGAAGCCATTCAACCAGGGCGCCCATTCAGATATCCGCCGTTTTTGGGCTCCTCTGTTGTTGTCGGCACGTACCTGGGCTACCTTTTGCTAACTGACAGCGAACATCCCCCGGAATACTATCCAAACGACTTGAGTGTGAGTACGAAACTGTAAGCAATTGTTTTTCTGAACAACTAAATTTATTTTTTAATTTTCCAGCACTGTTCCATTTTTCGGGTTTTTGCATTCAGAAGGGAAGCTGAAAACCATAGACTTATGCTATTGCTGTTACTGCACTGGTTATGCCAATCAGTCAGAGTAGGGACTTTTTCAAGGGGGAGTAGTAAGTCTGTTTCCACAACGCTATTTTTCATGGCTTGTCGAATTATTGGACATGTCCTGTTGTAGCTCTCCATATGTGGCGGTTTGTGACGAAGTCTTTGCAAACTGATCCAATCACGACTCCATTACTGAAATCCTTAGACCGAGTTTTGATTTGGACGTTCCACACTCGACTTGATAACCGCCTATATTCAACTTGTTTTCCAGATATTCATGAAAGAAACAACAGGAATGCTATCCAAAATGACATCCAGCGTATCATTCCGCTTTTGCACAATCGAGTGTAAGCTGCAACCTAGCAGAATTTAGCTGTTTGAAACAATCAGTCAATCAACTGGTTTACCGGGGATCGGCTTCGTGAAGCCACAAGTGTGAGCTTTCAGACAGAGATCAAATCTGGAGAAGGATCGTCAGGGGATAACGCACCTCTAATCAAAGGTGCTAATTTCCCCTATGTATCCTAATCTTTGAGGGGTAACAATCAATTAAAAGATTTTCTGTGCTCAAGAACGATCAGATGAATTCGCTTGAGTCTCAGTTACCTTGTTAAAAAATGAAATTGCGACATCAGTGCCGAACTGTATCGCTGACTTACTTTCTATTACACGTGGCAGTGCGGTGAACAATAGACGGGGTGGTCGTGTGAACAGACACCATGAGCCTTGGAACTTGGAGTCACGAAATACTCACGGCCCAAACAGGATAAACGTTATAGTCAGCCGGATAACAGCGATGGGGCCTAATTTCAAAGTGGGGTGACGGTTAGTGTTTAAACCTTTATACATCGTAACATTCAAGTAGGTCGTTAGGTATACCTAAATTAACTCTTTGTTAGGAGTAAAGCGAAACGGACTCAGTAAATAACCACTTTTATCTATCGCTACTGATATCAAACATTGTGTATCATTAAGTTCCGCTACTCATATAAACTGGCGGAGCGAAACGCTTTGTGACTAAAGGCAGCACTAGAATAGGACAGTTTTCTGAAATCCCTAAAATCTGAGGTTTCAGATCAGTATTAGTTGTACTTGTCTATTAAATAGATGTGCGATGATTTTCCAGTGTTTTAAAATTCCGAAGGTCTATACAGATAGGTCCACCAGGTCTTGGCCTACCGTCCGGGAGTCATTTCAGGTCATTGTCCTTCTTGCGTCACTGCGTTATGCAAAACCGTTATAGAAAGGCTTTCCGAATAAAAATACTTCAATGTAGCTCATTGTCGTTCCACTAGTTCCCCATCGTCCTCACAATACCCACTGTCTTTGTAAGAGGTTATGGGGTCTGAGTACAATCGACCTTTGTGAGGCCATTGAAGAGCAGTCACCTTGATCCGTTTGAATGCTCCGCTGTTATGGTGGTCACTCAGACAGTTCTGTGCTCCTGTTGCACGAGTTTTTGGCAAACGTTTTTCGCTCTTCCAGCTAAAAATGACGAGCATTCTTTTATTGTCATTAAACTCATCTATATTGAAACCTCCCCGTTAGGCGCATAAAGGTGTGATAGACTGCCCTACTGCCGCGCGGTTTACTACCAAACTCATTCTGTTGGGGTCTTATGCGGTTCCCCACTCCAAGTTTCATGGATAGGTGGCCGGTTTCTCTCCTTTAATTCTCGAATGAGCTTACGTGCATTCGCTCACATAAATTAGATCACACTCACTGCCCTTTTACATTCGCGGCTGGAATCCCGATGCTCACTCTATATACCAGTTTATTCATTTTTAAGGCCCCCTTTACCTTGTTTTTCGACCGAAACGGATCTCTCATTCGTAAGTCGCTACTCATCTTCTACCCCCATATTACTTTCTCCATTCCTCTTTTTTTCGTGATACCAGTGTCTGCGCCTGTACTCACCATTCTGTTACTTATCGCTTTTTGATTTCTCCATCATTTAATTGCAGCAAATGTGACTGAAATGTTGGTTTCTTTCTTTTAACCACTAGTTTTGAATTCTCTGCCTCTCCTCCGACGGCAACAACCATCCGGTTTTCGATATTTAATCTTCCTCGATTAAGATGTTGACTGCGGCAAATTCCAACAGTCAAACTAAACTAGTAAGAGATTTTAGGGTTCATAGTTGGTAATAACTATTGTAGTCCTCGGTCACTTCTATGATAAGAATCGAAGCCCAGACATTTTGAGTCGATTAGTTGACCTCCCCACGCTCTTGAATCCATTTCTACATTCCTTTATTCGTCAATATCAGCTATTCTCCTTTTGGGTCATCGGACCATTGGTTCATTTCTTTTTTTAATTTAATTTTTTCCATCCTGTTCAACTCCCGGGCACCAAACGCACCTTTTGGCAGCACAAATCAGTCGAAACTTGCTGATCTGTTATCCCTGAACTAACTACTGCTTGAAGTACTTACTTTACTTTACGGCGGCTGGCTCCTGGGAGAGGATAAGCCGGCTTCATGGATATCAGTGAATATCCATGAGTTTCTTGGGAGTTCGGTACAGGAAACGTCCCCAGCGCCACCCGGCTTTGGGTCGAGTTGGCATCTCTGGCCTTTGCACATCCAAGTGCTAACTGCAAGGCAGCAGGAAGGTAGTGCATGGTTGCTGGTGGCCCTCTGGGGGCTCATACGCCATTGTCAGTTGTTAGCTGAACAGGGATTCATGCATCCCTGATGAGCACGGAGTCATTGTCTCGGCCGCTGAATGGACTTCACTAGCATAACACGTACATTAGACACCGACTCGCCGGGAGTTGAGCTCCCGGTTACCCTCAACCTTGTTTGGTCCGCCTGTCGAGCGGTTTACCGGGGTGTGGCCGCTGTTGTATCCAAACAGCTTCTGGGAGCCACAGGTGAGAGCTGAGCACCCAGTGGAGACCAAAGAACGGAGGATGCCCCAAAGGGGCCGACAGCCCTCCGAGTCAGAGGTGCTACTCCTTCGGGGTACCCCATACACCCCAGTCGAAGTCAGATGTTTTCTCTTCTTTTTCAAACTTTGGTGAAGTTGTTCTTCAAGAAATGCATCTTTATATTCCTCACTTTTCCAAACCCGGTAACCATGCCTGCAACCGTGTCGTTCTGAGAAACTCGGCCGTTCACTGTAAATGTTGCTGTTCTCCAAGGTTTTATACCTAAGCCCACTCTCCTCCTTTGTCCCTAAAGTTCAATCCCATTCATTATTTCACTAATGACGCCGCTGTTCATTGTTCTCTTTCCTAACTTAGGACCCACCAGGCCAACGCTGGCGTCAATCACGCATGCACGATGATCAAATATATGTATTACAGCTTGTTTCCAGGTTTTCCTTGTATTGTGGTTACTTGTTGCGTATTCATTATGAGCGATTCACATCCGTTCGAATTATCCTTTAGGCTATTTGAAACTTCTGTTGAAATACGTAGAGAATGCGAAATGTGAGATCATCGACCAGGAGAAACCTTTGCTTTCACGATTGAAATCCAATTTACCGTTAATTGATTCAATTTCTCATCATCTTCATACAGCGAAATACAGTGAAGCGAACTTCGCTGATCACTTCCAAAACAATTTCTAATAGCAACGCAATCTGCTAATTGAGCAACTTCCATATTGTTTTGTCGTCTTTTTTTTACAGGCCACACTGGTTCGTCGTCTTCCACTGAATGGCGTATCCAGACTGATCTCATGGATCATGGAGTGCAAAATACCTGTGGGTATGAGACCGTTCGTCTATGGTTCCTACGCGCGGCTGTTCGATTGTGATCTAACCGAATTGAAACAAACTGATTTGAAAGCCTATCCGTCCCTGGCCGAGTTTTTCACCCGGGAACTGGCTCCGAGTGCACGACCGATCAATTCCAAAGCACAATTGGTGGGCATTTTAGGTTTTAGTTTTCCGAGACCCCGTCTGTGTTGTGCTGCGATCATGCTCTATTGATACCTAGGTCATGGACAAGAGGACAAGCACAGTTGATTTGCACTGATCATCCTTCAAACGTAATCCTCATTTCATATGTTGAAACGCGTGCACACTCAAGAAGCACTGAACTTGAATTCGTCAATTGCTAGAGCTCGTTAATATTGTACGCCTCCACCGGTCCCTCCGAGACCGGACTCAGGTAGCCGTTGTATGGTAGATGTATATACTTCCACTGTGCCAACCAGCTCAGACCGGTGCTGACTAGGATGAACGATTCAAAAATCTTTTTAGATGTCGTCATCATAACATGTAGTTAGTTAGTGGTCAATTCGAAGGCCTTCAACCAGATCAGAATCAGCCACATGTACACACCCGAATATATGTATTTGAAGTCCTGGACAGATCAGTGAATATGCACTACGGAAGAGCTCTAACTAAAACGAGACTCGAGTCTAGTGCTTCCCAATGTGCATGGTCCAATGGATAAACGGAAAGTCGTGCATTGCGATCAAAAAACAAAATGCACATTTTTTCTGTATTAAGATCGAGAAAGTACAACTAAAATAGGCATATCATAGTACATGCACCTCTTCCATGTGAAATCTATTGTTGCTATCGTCTTATCTCCGCTCTCTTAGTTTCAAGCGTGTTTTTTCGTTCCATGTATGTTTCGGCAATAATTTGTCATGTTTCTTTCACCTTCATTTCCTGCACAAGTANCGCAATTTTCCAGAATCTGGAAGTGGTCAGTCAATGGACTACCACGTGGTACAAATTGAATTGAGAAAGTCAGGCGGTAGTTGTGGGGTTGAAACACACGACATCCGGGGTGATAAGTTGACAATCGTTACCGCTTAACCACTGCCGTTCATACTAGTTTTTTGAGATAATCGCATTCAAAACAGTCAAGTTCCAGTACCGAGATGCATTCTGGGATCTTGACTCCTCCGACTTTCCACACTTTTGTTGCTCCTGGTGTCAGCTTGTTCGGTTCAGTTCAGTTTGCACAACCATTAACCATGCACCTTCGTGCGGTGGTTTTGGTTGCTGCCTTTTGGCTGCCCATAAGGAGAAAGACAGGAAAGGTTGAAAGTGGAGCCGAAAAGAAAATGGAGAATTTCAGTGGTCTAGGGTTCCAAAGTAATTGAGAAGATGCACGAACGCCACTGTTTGCGACACTCAGCCATATCACTCAGTGTCTCTAACCATCGGTTACGATCATCCCAAGGTCCTCAGCCAGGGAGCCTAACGGGACTTATTTGACCCACTACCCTGGTTAGGGATTTTACACGCTCATGCCAGGTCTTAAGTTGACCACCCTTGTCTTTTTTCCACCCGCTACCTACCTCGGCAAACATCGCGTGCCGTGGCAACCTATTTGGTGACATGCGTAACACATGTCCCAACCAACGTAATCTATGGAGGTCGGCCACTTGCTCCAGTGAGCGGCTGCGGTTACCCAAAACTCTACGCCTAACGTCAGCACTGCTCATCCGGCTGCTCCACCAGATTCGTGCAATGCTGCGTAGACAGCGATGTCCAAACAGCGACAGTTTATCTTTATCCTGTTTTCTGAATGGCCGAGTTTCTGTGCCGTATAGCAGAAGTGGCCGAACTGCTGCAGCATACACTCAAAGGTGTCAGCTTGTAGGTATTTTTCGGTGCTTCATGTGTAATAAAGTAGGTCCGAGTCAAAGTTGGTGTGTTTGTATGTGTTCGTATATATATATATATATATATATATATATATATATATATATATATATAT